ATATCTGTGAATTCTTTAATGTAAGTAGAAGCAGCTGCCAACCGAGGACCAAGCTTTTTGCTGAAAAAAGAGATTGGCTTCCCTTTTTGAATCAAAACTGCTCCAATTCCAGAATTTGATGCATCAGTCTCCACACAAAATGGCAAGGAAAAATCAGGTAAGGCTAGCACCGGTGTTGAAACCATAGCCTGCTTGAGAGTGACAAAAGCAACCTTTGCTTTGGATGACCACTGACATGCATCATGTGATAGCAGATTGGTAAGGGGAGTAGTTATAGAGGCATAACCTCTCACAAACCGTCTGTAGTAGCCTGTTAGTCCAAGGAAGGCACGAAGCTGCTTCACTGTTTGAAGACGTGGCCATTGAACCATTGCAGCCACTTTAGAAGGATCAGCTTTCACTCCCAAACCAGATACCATATGACCCAAATAGTCAATTTCATCAACAACAAAAGAACATTTGCTTAGTTTTACAAAGAAATCATGTTTATGTAAACATTCTAAAGCAATTTCTAAATGATGTAAATGTTCAGGTAAGGAGTTACTGTAAATGAGGATATCATCGAAAAAAACAATGATAAATTTCCTTAAAAATGGCCTGAAAATATTATTCATAGTGGACTGGAAGGTAGATCGGGCATTTATTAATCCAAATGGCATTACAATGTATTCATAATGACCATTATGTGTTCTAAATGCCATCTTTGGGATATCAGCTGTGTTCAATCGAATTTGATGATAGCCAGCACGCAAATCCAATTTAGAGAAGACAGATGCATGGCAGAGTTCATCTAAAAGTTCATCTATTGTGGGAATAGGAAAACAATCTCTTACCGTGATTGCATTTAATGCTCTATAGTCAATGCACATACGCCAAGAATTGTCATGCTTCTTCACTAATAGAACAAGAGAAGAGTATGGACTTTTACTCTCTTGGATGAATCCTGTTGACATCAATTCTTTGACTTGTTTCTCTATTTCTGCCTTCTGGAAGTGTGGGTAACGATAAGGTCTCACATTGACTGGTTTGGACCCTTCAATGAGATGAACGGAATGATCAATTTCCCTTGAAGGTGGCAGACTCCTTGGAATTTTGAACACTCTCTGATATCGCAACAAAATTTCCCACAGTTCTATAGGAACCTTATCTTTCAATGTGCACAATTCAGCATTGATGGACTGAGATGGAATGGTATCTTGTTGTAGCAAGAAACAAGAGGTTGGCATAGTTGCTAATGTCTGGCAACTATGTAACATCACTTGTCCCTTGCGTAGAACAAATTCCATAGTCATATTTCTGTAATCATGGGTGACTCTCCCCAATGACTCCAACCATGGCATGCCTAAAATGACTTAAAGGTGTTTCAGGTCCAATGTCCACAAATCAACCACAAATTCGTGACCTTGAATGATTAAGGATACACCATAACACTTGGTATTACACAGCAAGAATTGACCATTACCTAGCGCCACCTTCATGCATTTGGTTTGCACTAATGGAATACCAAGTGCCAATGCCAAGTCCTTCTGTATGAAGTTATGGGAGCTGCCAGAGTCGACTAGAACACACACCTTCTGGCTATTGATCATTGTTTCCAACTGCATGATTTGATTATTGCTGGACATAGACATGGAGTTCAAAAAACCTTCCTGTGAATTGGCAGCAGTTGGTTTAGGACACCAAACAATTTGTTCCTCCCCTTCTCCATCCTCATCATCCGGTTCAGGAATCAGGAGTAACATCCTTGATTTACACCGATGACCAATGTTCCACTTTTCTTCAAATGTGTAACAAATGCCTAGCTTGCGTTTCTTCTTAAGTTCCTCTTGGGATAACCTCTTAATTGGTAAAGGAGGAGGAGCTGGTAACAGAGGCAGACTTGGATTGACAGTGTTTTGTGACATAGAAGAGTTTGTAGTAGTAGGTCGGGTAGTGTTCTTCCAACTTTATTTCTTGTAAGGACTAGAAAAAGATGAACGAAGCTCTTGATAATGAGCATCATAAGCAAAAGCCAATTGCATGGCCTGGTGAAGTGTGGCTGGCCAGTGAACTTGTATCACACTACGAAGCTCCATAGTTAACCCAGACACAAAGAAACTCAAAAGCATGCTATCATCTAAACCAAGTACCTGATTCATGAGTGCCTCAAACTCCTTCACATAATCCTGTAAGGAACCAGATTGGGAAAGTTTGGAAAGGACACCTCGAAGATTCCTATAAGCAGTACCCCCAAATCTCTGACGAACAACTTGGGCAAAATCCTCCCAAGAACGCACTGTTCCACCAGCATGCACCCACTGGAACCAAGATGCTGCAGCACCCTCCATTTTGAGGCCTGCCAAACAAATCTTAAATTCTTCAGGAATGACTTGCATGTTGAAGAATAGCTCATATTTGAAAAGCCAAACATGAGGATTTTGACCATCAAATGATGGAATTTCCATTTTGATAAACTTCAACGCTTGACGCTAGTCATGAATAGCATTGCCCCCAATTTGGGAATTAGTACGCGCATGGTTGTGGTCCATGATGCATAAACTCACGCATCGTAGCTTCTAACGTCTTGAATCGATTCTCAAAGAAATTCGTCAAACGAAGCTCCAGAGACTCAGAGATCTGGTCGATTCGCTGACTCAATTCCAGATTACGTTGGTTCAACTCAGCCTTTGTGGATGCCAATTCATCAACTACCTCTTGGACCCGCATTGTGATAGGCTTAAGAACAAGAATGAAAGCACCAATGTTACAACCTAGGGTTGTAAAGGAGAATCTCAGAGAGAATTCTGATAGAAGAAAAAGGAAAAGAATCGTTTATTTCATTTCATGATTCATTACAACTCTGTTTTTGTGTATTTATACAATTCATTATCTACACTAATGAGTATCCTAACCAACTATCAACCGACTAACAGCTTGAGTTGCCACGTTGCTCCAGTTGCCACATGGTGGCTTTATGTGAAGTCACGTGCCCAGGATGGTGCTCTACGTATGCGAGTGGAGGTTCTACGTGTTGTAACAGTTTATTTTTTCAGCAATAAATATAAATAAGTTATCTGCATTGAGCCAAAAATGTTGTTTTAGGGCGAAAATCAAAGTATTTTTGTAATTATAATTTATTTTAAGGTTATAATAGTCTTTATTATTATTATTTTTTAATTTTTACACCCAAAATGACGTCGTTTTGAGAGTAAATTTAAATAACTTATCTGCATTTACTGTAAAAACATTAAAACCTTTGTTTATATTGTTTTAATCTTCTACTTTTTTGAATATTAATTTTAATTTATTAAAAAATAAATAGATAGAATTAAAAAAACTAAACTATTAATTAGGATGATAATAGCTTTTTTAAATAACTTCCTATATGCATAACAATGATGTATTCAAATACAACATCCAAAAAACGTAAAAACACGTGAATAAACATAAAGGACATGTGAGAATGATGTTGAACAAAACATCATTTATTTACGATGGTCATATATTTCATTAATTTTTGAAATGTAAGTGTTACTGGAATTGATTTTATTCAATAATATCAAAGTACCGATAATTAAACCACATAAGGTATTAAGCTACCTTTACAAAATATAAATACGACAACCAAAATATAATTATGGTCTAATATAAAACTTGGGAACTAAATAAAAATATAGACTTTATTGATTAATAATTCTGTTTTACACATATACAACATCTAATTTAAAATTTGTCATCTACATTTACAAACAATACTTAATAAGTTATTTTTATATACGAGTAAAATTCATAATTTAAAAGGTATTAGCATATAAAATATAAAGGTTTTTTCCGAATTATATTATTTTCTGCTATAATTTAGTATGAAAAATTTATTCATAATTTTAAATAAATAATTTTATCATTATAATATTTCAAAATAATCTAATATCATAAAATTATATATATATATATATATATATATATAAATAATTATTTCAAAAGATATTTTTATAAACATAAATTTTTTTATATGCTGGACTTATTTAGGCCGAAGTCAAGTCTAATGCAACCCATTTACATAAGGACAGCGATAGATACTTGATAGAGAGGAGTTGTTAGGATGGCTCGTGCTGTGCCTTTGTTGATAGGATAAGCTTTGGAAAATGTACGTTGGCGCAGTGTAACCTAACCGTATCAAACGCGGAGTCACAAACCGTACTAAAATCTGTGAGAGAAACAATATTAGCGCCAATCCCTGGTATTAATATTTATGTTAATAATAATAATAATAATGTAATAAGGAAAAGAGAATAATGGTGACAAATGAGTGACGCCATGTCATGTCGGAATAGGGGGGCACGTAGGCAGCTCCCATAAATGCCGACAAATTAATTTTTCCGATGACAAGTCGGTTTTCTAAGTTTATGGTTCCACAACTCCCACTCCCTCTCCCGTTCTCTCTGCTAATTCTTCAAGCACCATTCCATATTTCCATTGCTTTTCTCCCTTTCCTTTATTCCTCTTTCTTTTTTTTTTAAAAAAAAATTTTATTCCCCTTTTCTTTAGTAAGCTTATTTTCAACTATACTTTCATAACACAGGACAGGTAGGTAAATTTGTTTAACACTTATTCTTCCAAATACACTTATAACATCATTAAGTTTTATTATATATATTTGGTTGAATATATAGTTATTATTCTACCAAACTCTCTGGGAATGATGTTTTTACAAAAAGTAAAAGATAAAAAAGAAAGAAAGAAACAAGAGCACAGTGATGGCCAGTTAAAGTAAAAGTAAATGTCAGAACACCATTGATGCAGATGTTAACGTAATGGCAAGTATTTGAAACGCTTTCTAGAGTGAGACACCTCTTTTTCTGCAGACGGTTTATTGATGACCACATCCTCTTCCCCTCTCTTATCTTCAACTCCAAGTTCAAACAAACAAATAAATAAATAATACTAATATATATCTCTAAAAAAATTATTTAAATAATAATCATTATTAAAACCAATATAAATAAATACACAATCTTACTTAGTTATTATCCTTGGTGAAATTTCTCTGTGCTTTATGACTTTTATCATTCAATTCACCTCTCATGTAGAATTGTTGATTTTAGATCTTCTACCATAGTCCCATCTCAAGCAAGCAATACAGCTTAAACCAAATCCCAAATAAAACAGAAAAAAAATTTAATCTTTTTTTTTTTCTTTTTCCTTTTTTCTAAGTGGAGAGCGACATGGAATTTGATGAGCACGAAGACCAAGAGGACGAGGAGGAGGAAATGGTGCTCCCGGTGGCGCCGCCGCAGCCGGGTTACGAAAACTCGGCGGCGAGGTCCAAAATGGGCCCCGCTGCCGGAGCCGAGGGTGGTGCAGCCACCATGACACCTGGTCGCAAAGGAGGTGGGTCAACAGGGACAGTCAGATATAGGGAATGTCAAAAGAATCATGCCATCGGAATCGGTGGTCACGCCGTCGATGGCTGCTGCGAGTTTTTGGCCGCAGGAGAGGAAGGCACGCTCGAGGCCGTAATTTGCGCTGCCTGTAACTGCCACCGGAATTTTCACCGCAAAGAGATCGACGGCGAAATAACCTCCCATCACCAGCAGCCGCGGCCTCAGCCGCAGTACCACCACCACCACCACCAATTCTCCCCTTACTACAACCGTGCACCGCCACCTCCTGCTATTGGATACCTCCACCACCACTTGATAACTCCACCGGTGTCCCAGCACCGGCCGTTAGCTCTACCACCTACGGCATCGGGAGGGGGATTCAGTAGAGAAGAGGAGGACATGTCCAATCCGAGCAGCAGCGGCGGAGGCGGCTTCGGCGGCGGTGGAGGTAGCTGCAGTGGAACGAAGAAAAGGTTTAGGACTAAGTTCACTCAGGAGCAGAAGGATAAGATGCTGGCATTTGCGGAAGGGTTAGGGTGGAGAATCCAGAAGCATGACCAAGCCGCTGTGGAGCAATTCTGTGCGGATAATTGTGTGAAGAGACATGTTCTCAAGGTTTGGATGCACAATAACAAGCACACTCTTGGTAAGAAACCCTAATTTCGATTTTTAAGTCAACATGGTTGGGCATTTTTGGTATCTTATCTACCTGTTCCAACATTACTGGTTTTTAGTGTCAATAGGATTTTGTGGGACAAGAGAGTGTAGCTGTGTCTGCAAAAAAAGAAAAAGAAAAAAGAGAGAATAATTTGTAATCTGAAATTTTAATGGACATTTTGCTAGGGTTCTTCCTTAATTATTTTACTTAATTTTATCATGTGATGAGATAGATTTTAGTTGTTGGTGATTCCGAGTTTTATATTGGTTAATTCTGAACATCTTTCAATCAGGTAGGGATCGAACAATGAGATTCACATGAACTGCACTGCTATACAATAATGCAAATTGTGATTTCTCTTAAAAGGGAAACAAAATAAAGAAAAAAATAAATATATCAAGGACTTGCTACTTGCAAGTGTTTATCTTATCATCAGGTGATGTGGTGAGCGGGAGAGTATGCTATGGAAGTATGCAGATGAGCGCATCGAATAAATTCCAATATAATTGAATTTAACGTGTATGGCATGCAAACGCGTTGCTGATTATGTCTCATTGTGTTCATTCACATCTGTCATATTTTCCTGTTTTTCCTCCTTAACACGCTCTGGCTTTATTCTCGTTTTTCTCTCGTATTAATATCTCGAGTTTCTTTTTTATCTGTGTTCTGGACACACTTGGAGTTACCTTACCTGAAAATTCACAAAGTATTTAATGAGTCAAAGAGATTCATGATCCAAAAAGTGAGGTGATACAATTTTCTTTTGTTCTAAAATTTGAACTATTAAGCCATTTGATTCCATTATTTTATGTTCCTTCTAAGTTCTAAGTTTCAGTTGTTTGTTTCTAGTACTTTTTGAAGACTTATTACCTCGTCCTCTAACTCTATTGTTAATTGTTCTATCGACTTTCTGTTAATCTTTTGCTTGGGTGGCATTTTTTTTTTTAAACTTTTTCTTTTCTCTTAAAAAGATTAAAAAATCATTTTTATTAATTGTCTCAGTCACATTCTTGTGTAAGTTTTGTCAGCGTGGTGGAAAAAAGCGAGAAAGTAATTGGAAAAACATTATTAACTATGAGTGGGCATTTCATTGGAACAAAATAAAGCCAAAGGAAGTCGTACACTATTTGCCTGTAACGTCACAGTTCACAGTCTTGCAGACTTTTTCTGATTTTGATGAACACTGCACCGGGTTAATGCTGCTCGATCCACTTTTCCTTGTCTATTTGTTATTTCGTTCTTTGTTTTTCTAATTAACTATATTCATATAGTTCAAATTTAAAAAAATAAAATAAAATCTTTTCAACAAATAATCGTAGTGTTAAGTTTAAGATTAACTTTGAATGTTGTTAAGAACTGAAATTATCTTCAGCTGTATGTTATTATTTCTATTGCCCGTGCCTGATTTTCTTTTCAGTTGTAGTATATATTGAAAATGTATTAAAGCTTATCCCTTTACATAACACGTGTATGAATGAGGCTGAGGGAAGTAACTTGTTTCTAAGTTCCTTACCTTGCTCTTTTTTATCTCCCATGATTAATCTGCTTATAGTTTTTTTTTGGGGCGTTTGGCTGAGAAGAAATTTTTTAAATATTAAGGAAATGTAGTTATTAGGGAAATGGTTGGAAAGTGAGTTTAGTAGAAAAATGTAAAAAAAGTAGTTTGGTTGAAAAAAAATTTACCGGAGAAATTTGGAAAATATTATAAAGTCTATATTTGATTTGAGTTAAAATATTGATAGGAAAATGAGTTACAAATATCAAAATAACCTTTATAATTTTTTTGGGTCAAATTTGGTGCCACCATGGAGGGTCATTTTTGTCAAGAGATTGAAATTCAACTTTTCACTTTCTCATTCATCCCAAAATACCACATGCAATTTACAAAAAAAAAAAAAAATACCACATGCAAAGTGGTATTTTGAAATAGTGATTTTCATCCAATTTTTCACACAACTAACCTTTCCCATGCATCTTATTTTACTAGAATTTTTTTTGAAAAACTTATACTAAACATGGTAATACTTGAAACCCACTTACACTTCCCCGTCAATCTCAAAATAAAGACCATTCAGTATGCAGTTGAGTTGTACATTATTTTTTAAATAGTCTAAACGTGAAATCAATTAAGGTCTTGGTTGGTGTATTTTATACTTCTTCTTTTTTGTTGGTATTTATCTTTAATCTATTTAAATAAATAATTTACTCTTCAATCATATTATTTAATTATATTTTATACTTTTTATTTACCACCATCCCTTGCGAAGACATGGGTCATAAACTAGTTATAATTCAAAATTGACAAAGAACTAGATAGTTAATGGTGTAAATTATGTTAATTGAAAATTAACCAAAGTAATAAAAGTCTTAATTTGATGAGTAAAACTGCAATTGAAGTAAGGTAAAAGAGTATTTTAATACAATTTACCCGAGCTACATGTCTATGCCTGGTTGCTGTACGCTTAGTAGTTGAACATTATAACTCTCGAATCGGTTTTATAAAGAGATGCAATAATTATAGGCAAAGCTAACGTATTAATGCTTAATTAATTTTACTGGCAACCCCCCTAGATTGAGTATTGTAGTAGCAGGCAATGCAATAGTTTTATGTAATGTTTTCTAAAGTTAATATGGGTTTGGACATGATGTGTTTTATTTTAATTTAAATGCGCGAGTTCATGCAAAATTATTATTTTTAAATTATTATTTGATTATATCTTAATTTATAAGAATTCAATCAAAATCAATTAAGAATTATTGTAATTTATGATTATAGTCAAATAACCTATGTATATTATAGGCTACATAAAAGTATATAAAAAAAATTTAAATACAATATAGAACACGTTTTATCTTCATTTTTCTATGTCCTCGAGATTATCAACTTCAAGTAAATATTAAATCAACTATTTGTTTGCTTAACAATGACAAAGGTTGTACAGAAATTTGGTGATAGCTGAGTGCCTCTCCATTATTATAGATAAGGTGGATAAGCCGGGGTACGATTAGTTGCAAATTGTGCAGAAGGACCGTAATCTTAATGCTAAAAAAATTCGTAAGCACCCTTTCTATGCCTTTAATAATCTATGGTATTCCTATTCCATCCTCGTAGGTAAAATATTTTGTATATATTTTTCCATTTAATCCACGTCGACCAGTTGCAAGTTTCGATTATAAAATCACTTCGGAAGGAATAAGCTACCGTGATTTTTACCTGTTATCGTGGAAATCCTTTAAAAAATTAAATTAGGAGATCACCGGCCATGAAGTAAATCATGATTGTTTTTAAGTTCTCTGCAAAATTTGCAGAAAAATAAATTAAATTAATTACATTACAGTAGAATTCATTCAATCTACTATGAGAAAAATCCCAGGGTTATCAATTAGATGAAGAAACTCACAGTAATGTAGAGACAGTAATAACGACAAAAATGTCGATGAGAGCATATGTGATTAAAGATAGTAGTACCTTTGTCCTAAGTCCTAACCATTAATACTGACGGTAACAGTATTGCTGTATTGGTGAAAGAGAGCAACAGCAATGAATGCTTAGCTTTGATATTATAAATGGAAATTTAGGATTTATTAGATTCTGTTGTGATTATTTTGTTTTTAAAATTGTTTTGTAAAATAATTATTTTTTATATTTATTTTTTTTGAAAGTTAAAAATTAAAACAGAAAACAAAAATAACTCAGATATGTTCTCTAAATTTGATTTTAAAAACAAAACAAAAAACAGTTATAATTTTCAAAATATATTTTACAAAATAAGTCTTAACACACGAGTTTTTTAATTTTTAATTTTTTTTAAATTAAAAAACTGTTTTTAAAAATAATAATCAAACAAAGTCTCAGTTTTTCAATTTTTTAGGTAGGTAAGGAGATTCACAAATACTACAGCTTAAATCTATTATCTCTTTTGAAATTTCCCCCGAGATGACCAGAAAACTTGATTCTGATTCAAACTTTGGTTCGTGTTACGCTTGGCTATGAATTTTTGCTATCGTAACTCATAAGAAATTTGAGTTAAGGGCACATCTAGTATAGGAGAAATTTTTTGTCATTCTTGAAAGTTCACCGATAGAATAATTGACTCAGCTCGTGTGACCATACTTTGTTATGATTTGTCGTTTGTGAGTGCTGGCATTAAATGTTGGTGTCAGTAGACCTGTAATTGTAAAGGTGGTATGCAGTAGTTGGTCAAATCAAAACTCAAACCTTGCCTATTCTACACGAGTGTTCATCAACTGATCCAAATTGATTCAAATCACGGTAATTAAACCCAAAAATCAAAAACCAAATTAACTAAAAATCAAAAAATTGAAAATTGAAAACAAAAAATCGTAAAATTTAATTGGATTGGATTGGTTTTTGGATGGTTTGGTAAAAAACTGATCTAATCCAAACCAATCCAATGATTCTCCAACCTTACCATCTACTTACTTGGGTTTTCTCACAATCATAACTCAAAAATCGTATAGCAAAATTTTAAATTCAAAACTCATTCACTTATCATGTTGGAAAAAGTGGGTTGTATTTGATTTATGTAAAATGTATATTTTTTTTCTAAGATATATATATATATATATTTTTTTTTTTGGTACAAACATAATATATTTTTATTATATGGATTATTGTTACACAACAGCTCCTCTATAGGATGAAAATTCAAAACTCATTCACTCATCATGTTGGAAAAAGTGGGTTGTATTTGATTTATGTAAAATGTATATTTTTTTTCTAAGATACATAATATATATATATGTATATATATATATATATTTTTTTGGTACAAACATAATATATTTTTATTATATGGATTATTGTTACACAACAGCTCCTCTATAGGATGAAAATTCAAGTTACTTCGTATCTCAGTTAATCATATTATAAATTTTTTGTTAGCAGTAAAAGATGATAATTTAATTTTTTGTTGTACAGTGCTTTTAGATTGCACAATAATCAGCATACAAACTTTACAAAGCTGATATATACAAAAGATATGTTATTTGCACAATAATCATCATACAAATCTTAGGCTTTTCAAAAAATCGAAAACCAATCCAATCCAAACCGAATAAAATTAGATTGGATCTGATCGAATTTGAAAAAAAATCCAAACTGAATGGATGATTACATGATTAAACTCAAAGGATTGGATCGGATAATTTTTACTTCCAAAATCGATACAATCCAA